TCTACATATTCCTTACAAAATTCAACATTAGCACACCACGTGTTGATAAACTGTATCACAATACAAGTTACATAAGACATTTCTTGAAATTCTCCTAACAAATAAATAGTTTAGAAAAGATGTAGTCAACAGGTAATTCTATGAGGAAAAATACACTGGGAAAGAAAATCAGAAGTGCACCTGACTGCATATAAGTTAACCTTTCTACTCATGTGTACACACAAGTATACTGTTGTTCCAAGACTGGTTATTCCAGCTAAGATGTAGTAACTAGCAGAGCTGCCTTTTAACTGGAACCTAAAACAGGGGAAGAAACAGGTAAAACTTGGTAAAGAAAATGTTCCCTACAATGAATTAATTTCCTGTTTTTATCACAGGCCCATTTCTTGGTCTCAGGTGATTAAGATTATTTTCCTGTCTTCCTATGCAAGGAATACCCCTCAGAAAGTCTGCCAGAAGACTCCTGCAGTCACACCTCAAGTGATGTTTACTAAGATTCCAGTTTGTCAAATTCTGAGAGAGCAGCACATTCTTAGCTCCCTCATCCCTCCATACCATCACACCCCATCACAGTGGGCACCAGAACAGACTGATGACTAGGCAGTCAGTGCCCATGCTGAGGAGGGGCTCCATCCCTAAGGTTTGCACTTACGAGCTACACATTTGGCCAGAGGAGGATCCCAGCTGTTATCGAACTGGCACTGGCTCTGAGAACTGCCTTCCAGAGTGTACCCAGCCGCACATTCCAAAGTTACACTGTCTCCATAGTAATACTCTTTCTTCATTTTCAAGTCCTTTTGGAATCCACTCATATCCTGAGGGAGTCTACATATCACTTCTGCAATTAGAAAAATCACAAGGAGATTACTAGTTTGTGGTTACTTAAATGGCTATTATAGAAACATCTGTAACCCCAGACTTTGCCCTCCACAAAATGGGGTATAGCTTCAATAAAGAATTACTGTCAACCTCAGAAACTTATTCTTAAATTGTCTGACTTTTAAAGTCAGAAAAGAGAACATGGGACACTTTTGATGATCAACTATTCAGCTGAAAAGTGTTAGAAAAATACGTCAGGACAACCATGTTTTACAATCCTTGGTCCATGTGGGACACCTAATTAAGAAAAAATATTACAATTTCATGGTAACGCTCTTGGTATACAACATATTCTGATATTTTTGCTATGAAGTAATTCTAATTTTACATACTATCTAATTTCTTTTATTTCATTTCATTCATCCTTTAAATTGCTTTCTTTTTCTTTCCAGCCCTAAATATCTTCCTCAACTTCAAGCAAACCTCCTTTTCTGTTGTAATTGTCTCAAGGTTTATAAAGTGGCATTTCTAGAAGTATGGTTTTCCTATATCAGAGGATTTTGATTGACCTGCTAAAAGTAGCCTTCTGACCCTCTTCAAAACAGAATCTGAGTCCATGTAAATGAGCTAAGAAATACCTTTTTAGCAACATTTCAGTAATTTTGCTACAATGATAATGGAAGATCATGTTTTACTGGTGTAAAACATCCTTTATTGGTTAAGACAATATCAATTATATATGTGGTAAATAAGTAAATGAATACTCATGCCCGATTAAATAATTATACATGCTTCCCATTGACGACAACTGGAGAATATGGGAAAAAATTCTAGAAAGAAGAAAAAAGGTTTAAGTTCTCTTAATTTTAATGAAATTGTGATGATGATGCACATGGCTGGGACATTAGTAGTTCTGGATCTCTAAGTTTTTTGCTAAGAAGAAACTGAGGCCTAACCTAAGCTAGAGTTTATTCTAAAAGCCCAGGAGACAGTAGTCCTAGATCACCTAGGAAGCTAAGTCTTTAATGGTGTTGGAAGTAAGTTTTTTTGTTTTTGTTTTTAAAGCATCCATTCAATTGCTTTACACCAGGCATAGTAAAAGTCCTGTTTACAAGACTGAGGACAGGTGAAGCTTTGGTCACATGGATACTAAGTTCTAGGGAAACCTGTGACTGACTGCAGGGTTAGAGCTGGTGTGTTCAACTGTGATACCAATTCCAGACCCTTCTGAACCCTTCTGATTTCTAGCTGCTATTTCTCTTGTTCATATCTGAAGATCAGGAGAAGAAATGGCAAACATTGGGGACTAAATCAGGCACTGTTTGTACAGAAGCATCTTATGCTAGATGGTTTGTAAAGAAAGAAATGGATGAGTGTTTGCCATTCTGGATGTCCAGTTTGTTGTTGGGTTCTATTGTCCTGAAATTTGTAATTGTTCTGGAATTAAAAAACAAAGAAACAAAAAAAAAAAACCATGGTGTTTGGCAGATTTCATAAATAGTAGATCCCTTGAAAAGTATTCAAGATAACTGCTGTCTTGCCTAGTCTTCCTGTCTACAGATCTATCGAATCTGCTACCCACAACAATAGATTCATAAACAACTAATAACTACCACGAAACACACTGTCATTGGCCACTGTGATCCCGGAGAAGATGTGTACTTGGATCAAAATATACTTGTCCATATACTACTACAGATTCTACTACTGGTTGGTTTTATGTATCTTGATCCTTGTCTGACTGATCATTATGTGAAGTTCTGTCTTGTTCATCAAGACCTCTTTTATTTTAAGCAACAATGAATTTATTTCTAGTTCTAGTTTTGGATAAAAAATCCAAAAGAATCTATGTTTGTACTTGACATTGGTCCTACTGCCACTTGATACTAATGTCAGTAAGTTCCTATTCTCATTTTGAACTGATCTTTCCAGAGGTTGACCTCCTTGGGAACTCCTTTTTATAATCTTTAAACAGAGTCCCTGTCTAGCATTCTGTCTCTGATCTCTATTCTGAGTCACACTCAGCCTTCATCACAAATAAATGACACTTTGGGCCCAAGCTGAACATTCAGAGAGAAAGGTAAATGTCCATTAGGAAGATGGCCCAGGAAATCATCACAGGTTTCACTAAAGGGGAAACAAAGAACCAAGCATGTCATGCAAAGGACAAAGAAAATCTTTAATAAAACAAAACAGAACAAAACAGAAGAGAGTCTAAACACTTGCCCATATGGGGGCCTCAGGACTCCAGTCTCCCTGTGTGGTGCAGTGTAGGGAAGCAGTCCTAAGGAATCCATAACCAGGATCACAGTGGTAGAATACTTCTTTTCCAGGAGAAATGTTCTTGTTGTTTGGGGTGTGCTTCCCATGTGGGATTTCAGGGAGTGACTGACATCCTGTGAATAGAACAAGTCTGATGTACATTTAGTGTTGGAGACATGCCCTCCTAAGCTTAAGGAGTTGGAGAAGCATATGTAACGAGTGCTAAGGTTTGGACATGGAATGTTCCTCAATGCTCATGTGCTACAGGTTTGGTTCCAGGGCAAGCACTGCCAAGGACCTGCCAAAAACCAGCCAAGTCAAGTTTGTGGGTACAAGTTGGAGGCCTGTGCTCTGCTATCCAGACTGCTTTCTCTTTGTTCTGCACCAGACAGCTCTTGCTATTCTAAAAATTCTCTGGATAGACTCTCTTGTAGAGCCAAGGCCGTTTTTTATTTACATATCAAGTCAGTCTTTACCACAGGTTTCCCTTTGATTATCCCAAGAATCAGCATTCCAGGATCCTAGCTTCCTTAATTCTTAGGAGAAAGCAAGGACACTTTTTTTAACATTGCAAAAGAATTCAGAGATCAGCCTGTCTTTGTTAGACACAGAGGATAAGCTCCCTGGGAGTGACCCTGCCCTGAAATTGCCATTTCTACCAAGCCTGGGCCTAACTTTGCTGTCCCAGGCTACCCTGAGCTAAAGAATCTGCCTGCTCTTGTAAGCATAAACAAAAAACTTAGATCGGTGAGATCTCCTGTGATCACCACTCCAAATCTCTTTATCTCCTTCCTTACTGTTTTTCTGACAACTTGGCTTCTAGTGTAGCTACCTTTGTTCCTTTAGATCTGTAAAGCCCCTTATAAAATTTGTATTGTATCCTTATGTTTTACGTAGCTGTGAAATTATATGTTTTTGAACTCATGTTTTCAGAGTTCGTTCCCACAGCTTTAAGGGCTGTCCTGAAGGATTCAGCATTTACCATTTTGCTAAAGATATAGACACACCCTCGATTGCTGGGCATGTGCTATTTCTACTTAGGAAATATCACACAAAATACATAATTCAGAATGATTGAAGCTTATCAAAGAGATTCCATGGCAAGGAGATACTCACTTTGATTAAAAAAAATCTCATTAATCAAATTCTGTCAATATATAGGCTAGAATATAGAAAAAACCCTAACAGAGATGGTATGTGTTAAAGTACAAAAAGTTAGGGCATTAAAATCTAGATTAAAGTCTTACTCTATATACTCACGTTCACACACAGGCACACTGGTATTCCAAATGCTTTCCACTCCATGAAGAACACAATGACTAGAAGAACTGCCTTTTAATTGATACCTAAGGAAGAAATGGGGAGTGGGCTGTAAAAGGCTTTGGCTAGAGTAATAACTCAATTCCCAGGTCCAGCCCAAAAATCATCTGAGGATTCTGAGGCTATGAAACCAGGAGATGGAAGGAGTGTGTGGATTCAATGAGCACAGCTTGAAGCAGGTGGGTAAAAAAGATTTGCAAAGCAAGGGGTCATGTTAGATAACACTCCCAGCTGAAATTGAAGAAGGTAGTCAGGAAGATAGTCAGAAGACAGAAGACAGTCAGATAGACAGGGCAAAGGTAGACATGGACTCTGACTGAGAGACACTGCTCATGCTGGAGGGAAGCTGGTACTGCTCACTGTCACAACTGTGAACTCACTCTGCCAAGGCAACACCTTGCCAACTCCAGCACTGAAGAGGCAGAGTTAACTGGCAGGAAATAGAGACTGTTCTTATGTCTCAGTACCTGTGATTGTGGCCTAGCTTAGAACAGGAAGCTCAGCTACTAAACAATAACTTCCGTTTCTCTGGGTAATTCAGAGAACAGGTGACTTATGAGGTACTTGTGTATGGCAAACAAGAGCCTTAAAAAGTACTGTTTGCTGGGGAGTTTTGTTGTTGTTTGGTTTTCCTTTTAAAGCAATGGGACTGGAGGGAAAACTCAGAGGGGAAAAAAGCCAGTTTCTTGTAAGAAGTCATCCAAAATTCTCAAAGGATGTTAAACCCTCATGCTCTTCTAAATCTTAAATGTTCCTGGTATTTGGTGCCTGCCAGGAATTCTGACAAGCACTGAAGAGCAGATTCTTTGTTGTCGATGATTGGTAGTTTCACAGAAGCATGTCTGCTGTCAAGCATGTTCATGACCTCCCCTAACGTGTTAGAATCATCCCCCATTTCAAAGGCCACAGCCCATTACTAATCAAATGATACGCAATGGGTGTTTTAATCCCACACCTTATGCTTTGTTTCTCTTATAAATTCTCTTATTGAGCATTTGTTTTCTTTTCCTGAGAATGACTGCTAAATGTATTGTTACTTACATAAACTTTCCATAATACATAATTTTTCTCAGAATTGCTAACGTTATTTTCTATTTAGAAAATGATATTTTCACTTAGTATATTACCTATATATTTAAAACCAGTAGTTATATTTGGTTTTGAATCTGTTATTTAATAAACATCACAGTTTTACCTTCATATCTTATTTTATGAATTCTACCGTCAGTCTTTCCTATATACAATATTAGAAGTTGTGTCTTCCTCATACCAACTTTCTCATACTGTGGACAAGTTCAGACTTAGTTTTAATGTCCAGCAGATTAGATTTGCTTGCACTCACCCTTCATTACAAACAAAGGACACTTTGGCTCCAAGCTGAAGATTTAGTGGAAACAGTACATGCCCATTAGGAAGCTGCTCCGGGAAAGGATCACAGGGTTTCTCTGGAGGAAAAAAAAATCAAACAGAAATAATAGCAGTGTATGGAGAATAAAAAACATAAGCCACATATGTCAAGCAGGATGACAGACTGTACAGTGCAGGGAGACAGCTGCATGGACAGTACAGCCTCACTCACAGCAGCAGAGCAGCTCCTGCTTGGAGAACAGGGATCTTTGTTTGGGTGTATAACCCTAGCATTGGATTCTGGGGCAGCTGACATACTGAGGGGAAAAGAAAGTTTCAGGCATGAAAACAATTTCCCCTCAATGGTAAACTAGATCACAGATGCAAAAGGCTCACAGCTATAGGTCTGCGTGTGGAAGAAAGAAGAAAAAACAGCCTTATTTATATATGACAAAATAACTTTTCTGCCAAAAGTCTCAATACAATACAGACACTGTGACTACAACTGATAAATCTTGAATTTACTATTTTATCTTGAAGGTGTACACTAGGGTTACAACACTTCCAATATATCCTTTTGTTTTGTTTTCTTTTGCTTTGTTTTTCGAGACAGGATTTCTTTGTGTAGCTTTGGCTCTCCTGAAATTAGCTGTGTAGACCAATTACACGAAGTTTCAAAATGGGAAAAGCTCCCTTTCTGTCTCTGTCACACACATATGTGCACAAACACCACACACACACCCAGACCACACATACACCAAAACAAACAAATACAACAGCAACAATCCAAAGCCTCATTTCAGTTGAATTCTCCCTATCCTTTAGACTTCTCCAGTTAAAAATGGGGAAGTACTCTACAATAAATTTTTTCCCTTGAGGGCTCATCTTCGACTAATACATTGTGCTGTCATATTTAAGACTAGCTGATTGCATTTATGTTGATTCCCAGCCTCATGGTATGTATTACCTATCATATCTAGGGATATGATAGACACCTTTATGTATCCCAGAACAGCTTCAGTTGAGACAGCCTTGATGACTCTCAAGTGAGCCGTAGCCATTCAGATTCTAGCAACACCAGTGACAAGCAAGGACTGGCTCTATTCTGGAAGCATACCAGACAGAGTCTGGCTGACAGATGGTGACTGTGTCAAGCAGGGCAGAGCCAGCTGTGTCAGCTCTATTTCTATAGAAACGGTAGCTCCCTCATCTTTAGCCACATTGCTTTCCTGCTCTTATTTTTCCTGACCTTCGAACATCTTTATAACCCATTTCCTACAGGAAAGCCTTTGTGCTTTGAAAAATCTGGCAGACAGGAAGACTTAGAGTCTAATCCTTGCTCTGCAAGTTAGTATCTGCATCATCTTGGAAAATTATTTAACCTCTAAGCCTCAATATGGAAACAATAGAAACTACTCCACAGCTTTGTTCTAGAAATTAACTATGCATACATTAAATATAACTTCCCGTGGATCAGTCATTCCACATTGGTAAATATTATGATATGGATAACTGACAGGAGCTGGAGAGAACGTCACCGTGTGATAATTCCCAGGATGCATCACATTCCTTGCTCACACTTGGCTCTGCTTCTCAACTGGAATGGCTGTGCTTACATGGGTGCTTGAGCACCCACACAAACATACATCCCTTCTCGATTTCATATTCCCTTCCAAGAAAATTTATTCATTCAACCTGTTCACTGTATTCCCTCATCCAGAGCCAACCATACCCCTGATCCTCCAATACCCAATGGCATTGCAGACCTCAAAGCCCAGGTCAGACTTACCCATGAAGCAGCTTGGTACCTCTGGCTCCCATCTGTTTAGGGACTGACAATGCACACTGCTGGCTCCTCTCATGGTAAATCCAGGTTGACATTTAAACTCCACAATATCCCTTAAGGAAAACAAGCTTCTGTTTTCAGTCACCATGACTGCATTTTCAACATGGGGAGGAGGAATACATTTGTTGCGTTCAATGCACTGAGGAGAAGGGCTACTCCAGACTCCAGTCTGATCATCATGGGTGGTACAGTGTATGGCAGACTGACCCACCAGGTTAAAGAGCGGACTCCCTATCTCATTAAGGAGGCAGTAATAGTGAACCGCCATTCCATACTCATAATGTTCTTTGGTAGGACTGTAGAATCCATTGGCAATGCCTGAGGGCATCTCACAATAAATCCCTGGGCAAAGAAAGCAGATTAAACCTAATGAATCACCAAACTGAAAACATTTACATTCATTATTTCATTGCCACTGAATGAATGAAGTAAATGGCAAAGTGTCTAGCATTAGGTTGCTATCTAAGGAATATTTGAACACAAGCACTAGATACCTAGCATAGTCTGATAAATGCCTAAGGAACAATTTCATATCTGCAGTATAAACAGACATACTGAAAAAGATCTTTTTTACCCTCAGTGGGATAGTGTTGAATAGAAATGGACAGCATAAGGGTTCCTCACACTTTTTACAGTGATGCATAACGTTGAACTTAAGAATTATTTCTAAAGTTTTGTATCTGAGATTTTTTTTGGACTAGTTCACCATGGGTAACTTAAACCACAGAAAGTAAAAGTGTAGCCAAGTAAGGCTGCTATATTCAAAATGGATGCCAAGGCAGCCTAATTAACTGCAAGATAAATACAAACTATTTCTTCTATAAAAATAACACTTCTTTTGAAATATGAACAAGTAACATAAAAACGACAGTGACAAGAAGCTATAGAGTCACACAGTTGGAGTTGTTTGTAGTACTGGGGACATAGGAGACGTACAGTTGATATTAGATTGTGGTAAACAAAGGCACTTATTGCCTTTATAACAGACAGAATTTAGCAGTGCTAGCTGTCATAACACATGGCAGTAAGATAGGCTGAAGAGGTGGAGGAAAGATGATCAATTAGTCTAAGTTAGCCTAGGCTACACCTTTCAACAGCCATATCAGTTTAGAAATAAAAAACTTAATGCTTTCTTATTTGTGCAAGGGTAGTACACTGAATAAAATATGTTAAGATTTTAGCTATTGTGGGTTTGATTATAGAAACTAGTACAATATTCTCTAACAATTGAAAAAACAACAATACAGAGAAGACACTGTGACAAGGAAACAGGGAGTGATGTCATAAACCATAAAAGTAGAAGAAAAAAAAACCCAGATTGTCTCTCTTGGCTTCCAGAAGAATCCAAGCATATTACTGATATCTTGAGTGGAGTATTTTGGTCATCAAACTAAAAGATAATAAATTTCTCCTCTTTAAGCTAGCAAGCTTGCAATAACTTGTTATCTGAACTTTAGAGAGTGAATACACACACACACACACACACGCACACAACTTATATACTCCTATCAGTAACTAAGAGAAAAATTGAGGAAAACAAAAATTTATTCTAAATCATTTTCCTAAATCACATTTATAGAAAATTACACAAAACCACTATCCATTCTTTTTAAGAACATTATAATACTTTATCAAAACTGTCCCGATTCTGAGCCACAAAATATGACTCAGTATGCTTCAAAGTAAACTAGTAAAAAATAATAAACTGCAAAATCTCCCAATGCTTAGAAATTAAGTATCACACTTTTAATTTCCCTATCTGTCAGAAAACTTTTGTGCACAGTAGTAATAGACAAATAACTGTTTGGAAAGTAAATAAAACAGTTTGAACCAAATGTACAGGTTTAAACGTGCATTATAAAAATTAAACATTTAAAACAAATGATCTTATCTGTGCCCTTCCCAGCCTTGAGCAGTCTGGAAGACCTTGTTTGCCACACAGGATCTTAACACCTAGGTGAGTCCAGCTGCTTTGTTCACAAAGAGACTTCCTGCTGAGCCTGCTTTGCAACAGAAACCCAGGATAGTTTGGGATGGGCTTTCCCTATGTAAATTCAGTGCTGAATATTAAACTTTGAGCCTTGATCAGAGAAGGTTGTCTTGACTCCATGCTTCTTTCACCCCTCCATCTCCTTTTCACTTCCAGTCCCCCTTTCAGGTCAACCCAGTTCATCCATGGCCCCTGGCGGCTACACTTATCAGCCACGTTATTCATTTAGGAGTAGTGGAGAAGTACATAAAGTTGAGGTAAAAGGAAATGAAAGAAAGAAAATAATATGGTGGGAATAAAAATTAAAAATAGACATACATTAGGAAAAACTCGACAAAGTTAAAGATTGTTTGTGAAGAGCTTAACAGAATTGATACATCTCCAGCAAAACTGACCACAGAAACAGAAGACGTTATAACCAATATCTCAACTTTGTATCACTATAGAATCTATAGACATCAAAATGATGAGAAGACGCAATGATAAATATAGTTCTGACAACGAACAAGACATAAAAAGAAATGAGTATGTGACTTAAAAAACAAAACTTATCCCAAATTAATTCAATAAGACATTAAGTAAAATATGCTAATTTTAGTTATTATGAAAATAAAGTCAGCAATTAAAAATTTAATAACCATAACTTCCCCTCACCCAGATCTAGACTACTCCATTACTAAACCCACTGAAACATGTAAACAAAAATAACATTATTATTAAAGAAATTATTCTAGAGAACAGTAAATAATAATGTCAAGAACATTTTACGAGGCCAACATAATCTTGATGCCTAAACTGGACAATGGCACTAAAAGAAAAATAAAAGCTAATTATAACCTAATATTTCTTGGAACATAGATGCAAATATACTAAGCAAAATTAGAAAATTGAATTCTGCCCTTCCAGTCTGGACTCCATCACTGAGCAGATTCTGGGCGGCAGCTCTGCACCCAATCTCACAAATCCCACAGGAAGGGGGCTCCCAGGAGCTCTAACCTGGGCAGTATCTTAGGTAAGAAGACAGCAACACCCACCATAAACAGGGATTAACCAGGACCCACTAGGACCCAGGAATTCACTAGGGCCCTGAGCACTGGTTCCTTCCAGTCTGGGCCCCAGCAGAGCCCTTCCAGTCTGGGCTGAGCCGATCTTGGGTCCCAGCTCTAACCCCAGTAGTAACACCCACCCCACACAGATCTGAATGAACCAAGATAATAGGAAAGACAGGCTCCAGTCAGAGACAGGGCAGGTAGCACTAAGGAGATCCAGATGGTGAAAGGCAAGTGCAAGAACTTAAGCATCAGCAACCCAGGGTACTTGGCATCATTAGAACCTAGTTCTCCCACACTAGAAAGTCCTGACTTCCCCATATCACCAGAAAAGCAAGATTCAGATTTAAAATCACTTCTAATGATGATGCTAGAGGACTTTAAGAAGGACATAAATAACACTCTCAAAGAATTTGAGGAGAACACAGGTAAACAGGTAGAAGTCCTTAAAGAGGAAACACAAAAATCCCTTAAAGAATACAAGAGAACACAACCAAACAGGTGAAGGAATTGAACAAATCCATCTAGGACATAAAAGTGGAAACAACAGAAAAATCACAAAGGGAGATTGTCCTGGAGATAGAAAACCTGGGAAAAAATCAGGAGTCATAGATGCAAGCATCATAAACAGAATACAAGAGATAGAAGAGAGAATCTCAGGTGCAGAAGATACCATAGAAAATATTGACACAACTGTCAAAGAAAACGCGAAATGCAAAAAGTTATTAACACAAAACATTCAGGAAATCCAGGACACAATGAGAAAACCAAACCTAAGGATAATAGGTATAGATAAGAGTGAAGATTTCCAACTTAAAGGGCCAATAAATATCTTCAACAAAATTATAGAAGAAAACTTCCCTAACCTTAAGAATGAGAAGCCCATAAACAAACAAGAAGCCTACAGAATGCCAAATAGACTAGACCAGAAAAGAAATACCTCCCGTTACATAATAATCAAAACATCAAATGTACAAAACAAAGAAAGAATAATAAATGAAGGGAAGAAAGCCAAGTAAAATATCAAGGCAGACCTATCAGAATTACACCAGACTTCTCAACAGATACTATAAAATCGAGAAGATCCTGGACAGATGTCATACAGACCCTAAGAGAACACAAATGCCAGCCCAGGCAACTATATGCAGCAAAACTCTCAATTATCATAGATGGAGAAACCAAGATATTCCATGACAAATCCAAATTTCCACAAACCTGCCATTACAAAGGATATTAGTGGGAAAGCACCAATACAAGGAGGGAAATTATACCCTAGAAAGAGCAAGAAAGTAATCCTCTTGTAACAAATCCAAAAGAAGATAGCCACACAAAGATAATTCTAACTCTAATAACAAAAATAACAGGAAGCAACAATCACTGTTCCTTAATATCTCTTAACATTAATGGACTCAATGCCCCAATAAAAAGACATAGGCTAATGGACTGGATAGGTAAACAAGACCCAGCATTTTGCTACCTTACAGGAAACCTACCTCAGTGACAAAGAGAGACACTACCTTAGAGTAAACGGGTGGAAAACAATTTTTCAAGCAAATGGTCCTAAGAAACAAGGTGGAATAGCCATTCTAAAACCTCTAGCCCAAGAACACAAAGAGAGGAACTCATGGTTCCATCTGTATAGGTGGTTGAGGGTGGCCTTCTCAGGCATCAATGGAAGTAGAGGACCTTCGTACCCAATAATTTGGATTCCCTAGTGTTAGGGAATTCGAGAGCAGGGAGGTAGGAATGGGAGGATATTGGGAGGACACCCTCATAGAAACTCCAAGAATTATACATGGATTAGACATGACAGAGGCAGGCCACCAGAGGACTAGATTCCAGAATTCAAACAAAAAATTATCTTAATACTAAAACTTGTTTTGAGAATTGTATATTGCAGAATACACAGCCTTGGTGTATCTACTCATCAAGCAAGCTGAGCAGACCTGCTCAAACTTCTGATGTTGGGTGCAACCACAGCTGGATACAGTGAAGACACAGACATTAGAGGCTTATCAATTTATTCTCCCACCCCCCGCCCCTCTTCTAATATCTCAATGCCCATAATCAGCTTGAAGAAGTTATTGAAGAGTTGGCGCCCCTATTCCCTGTGCTTGGGGATTGAGGTAGTTAATACTGGACTGTCTTTCTAGGGAAAATTAGTGGTTTTGTTGGAACAGGGAGGAATAGCTAGGATTTATTGCATAGCCATAACCTATTGGTAGAAATCTGTATAATTGTTATTAAGCTGAAGTTATAATTTCTTAAATGGTACAAAATTTACTTTGATTTCAAACTTAAGGTTTCTTATTGATATAGAATTGAGATTAATATTGTTACTCTCATAGGCATTGTGCCTATATAACACATTTAGGAATACAAGGCTTAGGCCCAGTCCTTCTTTAACTTTTTTTAAACTGATTTGAGATGGTTAGTCTGTGAGTTAAGGGCCTATAGCAATTGCATGGCTCTGAGTTTATTGTTAGGGTGTTTTCTAGATTTTATTTAGAAATAGCTGAGAGGAGTTAACAGACAACAGTCCAGATTGTCTTACATGGATAGTTGGTTTTCAAAATTTCAGGAGTCCACAGAATTGCTGTTACAAACATTTCTGCAATAAGGTTCATTTTGATTAGAGGCCTATCTGCTCCTGACAGCTTCCTGTCTTGGATTCTAAGAAGAAATTGAGCGTCTTCAGAGTTACTCCAGTTGTGGTGAGACAGCCACTAGGCAAGAATTGCCTCTTTTCATCTACAGACAAATTACTGTCCTGAAAAGGACACACTTGCGGAATAGACGACTGATTACATCTGACAAGACAGAGTAATCAGCACTTAATAATTCTGCATCACTAGGTCTGTCAGGTGATCCTGGGCCAGAAGGCTGAAAATCGGATGCTCCACCTTTTTGTAGTATAGAGGACTGTCCAGGTGTTCAGAGGTCTCTATAAATTGGCTAAGTTTTAGGAGCTATGCTTTGTGCTTCCCATAATTTCAGTTAATTCAGTCACTCTGGATTTCTGATGGGTTGAAGACTTACAGTCTCGTAACCAATCCCTGCTATTTACTTTGAGAGAAAAGATTTGAGAGGATGATTTTCAGCTGACATTCATTCTAAAGCCAAGAAAAAAGCCAGGTTCAGAACTAAGTCTTTCAGTTAGGAGAGATGACAGACATTCTGGTTAGTCAACAAAATGTTGGACTGGGTATTAGGTCTATCTTGTACCTTACTGATACAAATTGGTATAGTTATGCTCCAATTGTATTTTGAGAGAAAAGTTTTATTTTAACAGGAAGGGTGATATGAAGGAGGAGCGAAGGTGGGAGGAGTAAAGAGAGGAAGAGGAATAAGGAGAGGAGGAGGAAAATGAGAGGAGGAGCTAGGAGACAAGAGGGGGGAGGGGCAGAAAGAGAAGGAGGGACATGGAGGTGGATGTTCATGTCTCCTCCAGTCAAAGATGGTTGGTATATCTAGTTGGGCATTGGGTTACACTTCTGATTGTATGGGCATCTTGTTATTGAGCATTTCCAAACTTATAAAGCCTTTAATTAACATTTTTTAAAAAAGTTACTAATACAAAAAAAAAGGATGAGGAGGGAGGGTGATGGAATACATGTGACAGGAACTCAGATGAGGAAACTAGCTGGAGGAAGAAAGGGAAATGGCAGAGGGAAACAAATCAGAACTCTAATGACACATGTACGAGGATGCTGTAATAAAACCCAGTACTTTGTATGTTAACTTAAAATACTAATAAAGAAAAAAAAGCAAGAAGGAGGAGGGGGAATAAGATATAGGGTTTCTGGAGGAGGGATGGGGAAAGGGGATGACATCTGAAATGTAAGTAAATAAAATATGCAATAAAAAAATTTAAAAAAAGAAAATTGAATTCAGCAATATTTGAACAGGGTGAAACAATGACCAACATGGGGTTTCACAAACTGATTTTCAAATATTAAAGCAACTTTGTAATGCTAAGATTAAAAAATTTTAGCAATCACACATGTATCTGCATACGAACAAATGTAGAATAATATTCAATACATCAGAACCAAGATAGGTTTATTATACAAATTCCATTGATTAGCCTTTTAAAGTCAAGGTGACATCTTAACAAAATGAAAGAAAAAAGATATGATTATTTCATATGTGTAGAACTATAACTAAAACATGCAATAAGGGCAAACATTTCAGCAAATTAGAAATAAAGGAGAATGTTCTTAATCAAAGAACACTGTTTTTATCTGATCATTTATCCTCTAAAAAGAGTTATTTTTTGACTGGACTCAGACTTGGAAGTAGAAGACAGTGACAGTTTATCTCTATTGGCAATTTTTTCCTATATTTTTCTTTGGCTTCATTCTCTTAGCTAAAAATTTAACATATTCTGCAGCCTCCTCATTTTCCTTGGTGCACTGGTTCCTTAGAGCAATACCCTGCCTGTTTGTGCTGCAGGACACCCTGGAGGAAGAAGACACTGAATCTTGGGTGCTGTGGTCCTGGGCCTCTCACCTTCTTTAGGAACATTCTGACAACGTATGAGCAGACATCATCATCTGCTTTTGAATGTTTACAGATCCTGCTAACTCTTTCGACCCCAACCACAACCACAGAGGCACAGAATCATCTGTCAGTCTAGGATTATCCTTCTCTCCTTTTTTTTTTATACAATAACCAAGTTGAGAACACTCAGAGTGGCCTCCTAATGCATCCTCAAACAGACTTGCACCTCTTCTTTTTAGTTCTCCCTGGTCTATCAGCAGAATGCCCCAGTCACAAGTCCTTTGTCCTTCCTGCACTGACTCAGACCACACAACCAGAGCATCAGCAGGTCCTTCTGTGGCCATGCACCTCTCATAGACAGTACAAAATTTGTGTTCACTGTCCAGGAGGAACATACTCAGTTCAAATAACGTCGTCTTTAAAAAACTGCAGTAAGTAATTGCTTTAAGATGACCTCCAAAAATCTAATTTTATCTCTTGTAGTCAATACGTACAGGAGGCTGTAACAAATGTATATACTAAAGACCAAAGGAAGTAAATATTTCAAAACTGCAAGACTATACAGAAAGTTTAAAAAAATATGCACATTGCTGGGTACAAGGCCAAAATTTTCATGTCTATGTCTGTAAATTTACAGGTTTATGTCTGGAGTAGAGCACCTCCTAGCATGCATGAGGCCCTGGGTTCAATCTCAGCTCTACAAAAAATATAGAATTCAAGAGAAAATTTAAAATACATGAATAAAAGCAATAGAAAGAAGAATTTCAACTTACGTTCACAAACAGGTGGCTCAGCATCCCAATCAAC